CATCCATCCATCCATCCATCCATCCATCCTCCATCATCCATCCATCCATCTGTCTGTCCATCCATCCATCCATCCATCCATCCATCCATCCATCCATCCTCCATCATCCATCCATCCATCCATCCATCCATCCATCCATCCATCCATCCTCCATCCATCCATCCATCTACCATCCATCCATCCATCCATCCATGTGTGTGGGACATAACCTGCCATCCCACAGCACCACAGCCTGGTCTCGCCCAGCCATGGGAACGCTGGGATGCTCTGAATCCATCCCCAAGCTTGGCCAAAGAATTCAGCACAAGACTAAGGACAGGGGTTGTCCAAAAGGGTCCCCACCCTCCTTGTGGTGACGACGGGATGGCCGCAGGAGCTGAGCCAGGGACGCAGCCGTCCTTCGGGACACCTGGTGGCACTTAGGGCAAGCCCACAGCTCCCGAAGGCGGCCGAGCGTGCTGGCATCCCCTGGCATGGCCCTTCCCGTGCAGATCCTGCGGGAGCACGTCATGGTGCGGGTCGGGGGCGGCTGGGACACGCTGGAGCACTACCTGGACAAGCACGACCCGTGTCGCTGCACCTCGCTCTGTGAGTCCCCGCGTCCCCAAACCCCGCGGCTGCCTGAGACTGGGGGTGTCTGTGGGGGTCTCCATGATGCTCGGGGACATTTTCATTAGCGGGAGGCTTTGGTACAGCCGTGCCTCGTTGTTTTGCTGAGGAATGTCGGGTTTTGGGGACCTTCTTTGGCTTTGGTGGCCACTAGAGGTCATGGAAGACTTTTGGATGGAGCCAGACGCCAAAAGCCACTTCGCAGGGAGCGCAGCTTTCCGCCGGCACCCTCGGGGGGCTGGATGCTGAAGCACGGCTGGGTGGGCTGCAGGCGGGGGTGGGTGCAGGGGACAGGGGTGCTGAGCCCCCCTCGTTGTCCCCACAGCTCACAAACAAGCCTGGAAAGCGCGGAGCCCGCAGCAGCCGGTGCAGCACGAGGTGCGGCTGTGCCCGGCCCCGAGGGCGGCCGCCCGCAGCCCCCAGCCCGCGCTGCTGGTCAGCCGCTCCCAGAGCCCCCTGCCCCCCGTCACCTGGGGGGCCCGTGTCCCCTCCGGGGGTCCCCGGTCCCCTGCCACCCCCTCGCCAGAGGGCTCGGGTCGCCAGCCGGGTTCCAGCCCTCACCCGGAGCCGGCGCAGCCCCGGAGGGTCCCTTCGGGCAGGTAAGTGGCGCAGAGATGCTTCGTGCCCCAAACTGCCTGGCTTCAGAGCGGTTTTTCTCACACCCTTGGAATTTTTCCCTCATTCCCTTCTGGAGGTGCCCAGCACCAGGCGGGACGGGGGGGGATGCTGCAGCTCCCTGTCCTCTCTCCGCTGTCTCTCCCCGCAGGATGCGGGAGCCACCCGCTGTCCCTCTGGGGAGGCAGCCGCCACCATCCCGGTCACCCGCTCGATCCAGCTCCCCTGGGCACGGGCCGAGGGGCCGGGCACCCGTCCCTTCCCGGCTGGGCCCAGGGAAATGCATCCCTGTGGCACCGGCACGGGGCAGGCCCGCAGCACCCGGCCCGCGGACGGTGCCGGCACCTCCGAGAAGCAGCCGGCAAGGAGGAAAATCATCTGCGCTGGCTGCCAGGCCACAGGAAACGGAGACACCCGCCACAGCGACACCCCGAGCCCCCAGCCCCTGCAAGGGCCGTGCCCCCAGTCCCCTAAAGGTCTGTGCCCCCTCCTCGCACCGGGATGCTCCGGGAGAAGGGAGGCAGGGAGCCCTTGGCCGGGGCCGACAGCCTTCACCCCGAAATTCCTCCAGCCACCCCCCGAAAGTGGACAGCGGCGTTAAACCCCCCAGCAAAGCCAGCCCGGCCCCGTCCCGGCCCCCCACCCCTCTGGGCCGTCCCGCAGGGGGGTGCAGGGTCTGTGCTGCTGGGGACGGTCCCCAGGGGACACGGCAGTGCCACCCCGCCCCGGACCCAGGGGCTGCGGCTGCTCAGGGACCTCGGGCGCCAGAGGATGAAGCCGGGGCAGCCAGAGGATGTGGCCAGGGGCTCCGGGGGTGCTGTAGGCACACGCAGCCCCCCGGCTATGACAGGGTGCTGGAGGAGCTCTCCCGCGGGCGGCAGCCCCTGCGCCCCGTGGGGATGCGGAGCCAGGTCCCCCAAACACCCGCAGGAGCTGCCCCGCAGCTCCCAGCCCCGGCGGAGGCAGAGCGGCCGGGGGTGGGGGGCCAGACCCCGCGGGCACCCAGGGCCGGCAGCGTCGCCAAGCCCCGGCGGTGCCTGAAGAAGCCCGAGCGTGTGCCCTCCATCTACAAGCTGAAGCTGCGGCCCAAGGTGCGCCCCCGGCGGGATCACAGGCCGGGCAAGCGCCCCTCGCGCATCCCCACCCCGCTGGGGCATCGCCCCGCTGCCCCCCGCGCCCAGCACCGGCCCCCGGCGCCGCCCCGAGCCCCCCAGCCCGGCGGCACACGCCCCACGCCGTCCCTGGGTGACAGCGGCACCTGCCTGACCGAGGATGATGAGGAGTCGTGGGTCTGAGCCCGTCCCGAGAGTCGGTGGGGACGGACGGACGGACGGACGGACGGACGGACCCCTCCCTCCAAAGGTGGGAGCGATGCTGCAGCTGGAACTGGAGCTGCCCGAGGTTTCCCAGGGCAGCACGAAGGAGTCGCTCCCACACAACCCGGGGGGTTCCACCCCCTCCCTTTTCAGAGCTGCACCCTCTCCTTCCCAATGGATTTTGTCTGTACTGGTAATCCTGCTAAGCAGGCACTTTCGTACTGCTTTGGGTGGAAAAATCCAGCCCCAAATGGAGAGAATGGGATATTTTCTGCAGGGAGAAGGGTTTAGCCCCGCTGAAGTGGGGACACCCCATCCTTGACATCCATAAAAAACATCTCATAGCTCAGTGTTCCCCATCTGCACCACGGGATGGTGTCAGACAGCTCCAAGGGCCTTCATCGGTCACTCAGGTGGGGGGGACACAGGAGGGGACCCTTCCTGACCCCCGTGGTGTGTGGGGGGTGATGGATGTCACAGGGGGTCACAGCAGGCACTGCTGCACCCCCAGCCCGCAGCCACGGACCCAGCAATCCCGTCTGTGCAATAGAGATGTGCCAAAGCTCTTCCATTTCCACATCTTTCCTGTGCGGGTGGGGAGGCAGAGAGGATAATCCTGATGTGGGCACAGCAAACGTCCCCTTGAGAACCCCACAATGCCCAAGAGAGTCTCATTTTCCACGAGAGGATGAAGTCAGCCCCACTTCCCTGCAGAGGAGCAGCAAATGTGAGCGCTGGGACTGCGGGAATGCAAAACCTGCTGGCAAGAACACTCCTGAGGCTGGTACAGAACAAGGGGGACAGACCTGATTTTTAATTCAATTTCAAAGAAGGAGGTGCAGGGCGTCACAGGCGGTGTAGACACCTCGGGAATCTCTGACAAGGAGTCCAGGGGGGAAAGGAAAGCCAAGTCCAGGCAACTGGGATGCTGACTGGGGCAGGAGGAGGAGGACAGGGACAGGGAAACATCCTTGGTGGGGCCAAACCAAACCCAGGCATCACCTCCATGAGCACGGGGGGCAGAAACCTGGCACTGCCCTGGGCACAGCAGCGGGGACATCCCAGCCTGTGCCAGGCCCAGGTTGCTGTCAGCAGGACCAGGGTGGCGTTGGGTGAGTGGTAAATCCGTAGTAAGGTGTGAGTAGGGTGCTCGTGGCTGCTGCCCTGCTGCCGTGTGCTCCAACCCCTGTGCCTGGACACCTCGGCTCTGCCAGCCTGGGCTCCCCTGCCTGCACCCAGGGTGCCACCACCACCACTGCCCCTTCCTGGGCTCTTGGGAAAGTAACTCTTTGTAGCCCTCATTTTCCCGGGAGCTGGGAAATGCTGTCCAAGCAGTGAGAGTTGTTATTATTACTAATATAACTTCCTCTGTCTATAAAGTACAATAGAATATAACAATTATATTTATAACCTTTTTTTTTCTTTTTTCTTCAAAATACTAAATAGATGCTATAAAAACCTGTAACTAATTGTGCTATAAACTGCAGGCTACAGGGTTATAACAAACAATGTATTGGCTTAGTCGTTGATATGTGTACGTCAGAGCACTTTATAAATGCTTTATTATTAGCATTTACCAAGGAATTTCCTTCTCCGACAATTTGGAGGGATAAAGCTCTAGCCAGGGATCGATAAGTGGACTCCCATGTGTTAATAAATCCTGACAGGATGAGCTTGGACGGGGCAGCCGGGTTTGCCATGAAGGTGAGGGATGGTGACAATGCCACTGCCCTTCCTGGCTGGGATGGACCCGTGCCCCCACATTGCCTTTCCTAATTTTTTCCTTTTTTTTTTTAAATTTTGGAGCAAGGGGTTTGATTCCCCAAGCAGGGAGGGGGGAGCAGGATGCACCCCCAGCCCTGGCGCGGGGATGGGATGGTGAGAGGCACTGGAGCTCAGCTGGAGCTGCCTTTAATGGGAAGCAATTCCAAGAGCACAGTGGAGCTGCTGGGCCATGGACACCTGGCCATGGCTGGGTGTCCTGTTTTGCTGCCCAGAGCAGTGCTGAACCCCTTCATCTCCTTGTGACAGCAGGAAGCACAGGGATGGTTTTGCTGGAGGATGGATCAGACACAGATCCTGCCTCAGGAGATGAGGATGGCGTTTCCCTGTGTCTCACAGGGACCAGCCATGGAGAAACCACGACCCTCTTGGCATCTTGCTCTCCCTTCACCACCCCATCATCATTTCCTAACAGGGGCTGCCCTTTGCCAACCTGCCCTGCAGGGCAGGATGCAGGTGAGCTGCAGCTCTGGTGCAAACATAAACCAGAAGATTAAAAAATAATAATGAAAAGAAAAAAAAAAAAAAAAAAAAAAAAAAAAAAAAATAACAAAAAAAAAAAAAAAAAAAGAAAAAAAAAAAAAAAAATAACAAAAAAAAACCCAAAAAACAAGAATGCAACTGGAAGTGCTGCTCCAGCTCCCTGTTGCTGCCGAGGCAACATCCCTGTGGGAAAACCCGGCAGGGTCGGGCCTGGTGGTGCTGCCAGGGGCACAGGGGGCACAGGGGGATGTGGGGGCACCCCTGGGGATGCCCACCTGCCCAGGACACCCCGGGGTCTGTGGGGACACCCCGGGGTCTGTGGGGACACCCCGGGAGATGCCCACCTGCCCTGCACACCCAAGGGATGGGGTGAAGCCATCACCTGTTGAGCCCAGGATGAGAGGTAGCAGAGGGGTGACCTGCCCGGCAAGGAGTGTTCCCAAATTATTTGCTGTTCACAGACTGGGGGAAGGAGAAACCTTCCTGTGCTGGGGCTGTGCTGGGAAGAGGGGAGCACAGAGCCCTGGGAAGGCAGAACCCAGCTCCCGGGGATATCAGGAGCAGGATTGGGATTTAGGTTTTTTTCCCCCTTTCTTGCTTTCATCCAGAAATTCCACCGGGAAATCTGACCCGACCTGAACCAAAAGACAGTCCGTGTAACCTGGCTGCTCTGCCCTCCACAGGGAGAAATCCCAGCTGCACAAGGGGAGAAGCAGAACTCCTGTTTCCCTATGCTCCAGAGACAGAACCACCCCCAGAGCACCGGGATGCAGGTGCTGGAAAATTCCCTCCCGGGAGCAGGCGAGGCAGGCAGGCAGCACCAGGGCAGGACCTGGCAAGGATGAACCGACAGCCAAAATCTGGCACCCCCCGAGGGTGTACAACCCCCGGGATGGCTTCGGCCTCAAGCGCTGGCAGCTTGCAGAGAGCTCAGGGTTCAGCCAAGGCAGCCCGGCCACCCCCTGCTCCGCTCCACCCAAGGTACCCCATCCCCAAATGTCACCTCAGCAACCCCCGAGGTGCCTCCAACGCAGCTCCTACTTCCCGGGGAGCAGAACCATGCCCACTTTGGGGTCCCCAGCAGCACCCCGGGCCGGGGGGCTCACATGATGGTGCAGCGGTTCCTGCGCAGCGCGCCCTGGAAGCGGATGGTGGTGTGGACGTGCTTGCAGCGGGCGCAGCCCACGCTCTTGAGGAGCTCGCTGAAGAGCAGCAGGATGTGCCAGTTGTACTTGGCCGAGCACTCGATGTAGCCGCACTTCCACGTCTTCTTCACCAGGTTGGAGACGTTCCAGCGCGGGATCACCCGGCCGCGCTGCAGGTCCCGCTTGTTGCCCACGATGATGATGGGTGTCTCCGAGGTGCCGATGACCCTGCGGAGGGCGGGAGGTGACTGGAGGCTGGCAGAGTGACAGCAGAGCTCAGCCCATCCCAAAAGGGCTCTTGGCTCCGAGGAAAGCATGCCTCGTCCCCTCGTCCCTCTCCACAGCCAGCCACCCCTCGCGCATCCCCAGGGCTCACTCGGGGCTCAGAACCGGGGATGCCTGCCGGGCACACTAATGCACAAATCCAGAGCCAGAATGAAAGGCAGCTCCCAGTCAGGCTCCTCAAATCCCTGCCAACCTTAACCCTGCTTTTCCTCTCTTGGAGTAAGAGTGAAAGGTGTGGATGTGAAGTGAAGGGTGTTGGATGTGTTGCTGGTGTGGAATCTTACAGAGGGCAGCTAATTCTGCTTTCCTGGGAATTCTGTCAGGAATGAGGAAGGAATTCTGACCCTTTGCTGGGCATTTTGCAGCTCGTTTTTGGGGCTGGTAGCAGAGAATCCTCCAGCCCTCCTTGGGTTCAGAGGAGCCTGCCTGGTGTCCTGCTCCTCTCTTGGTGTTTGGGCTCCCATGGCTGCAAAGGGGCTTTGTGCCAGTCTGATATCTCATCTGTGATGCCAGGATGTACCCCCGTGGTGCCAAGCTCCCTTGGCAGGAGCCACGGGGCTGTGCCACCGCGGGGATCCCAAAGCCATCCCTACCTTGTTTCCAGGATCTGCTGGCGGATGGTTTTGATGTACTCGAAGCTGTCAAAGCAACAGATGTCATAGACCAGGATGTAGGCATGGACACTCCGGAGCCCCCTGCAACACACGTCTGCCCACTCCTGCAAGGGGCACAGAGGGATCAAGCCTGGCTCAGGCTGGTTCCTGTGCCCGGGGGATGCCCTGCCCTGCCCTGTCCCGGGAGTGGGCACCCCAAGGAGGCAGCAGGGGGGCTGCACATTCCCCAGCCCCGACCCCCAGCCCCCGGCTCTGCCCTGCCCAGGCCCATCTGTGTGTGCCCCCGCAGCTCTGCAGCCCTCCCCCAGCCCCGGAGATCCCTTATCCCCCCCGGCAACCCAGGGCAGAGCTAACAGGATTTGTCAGCCCCAGTTACACTCCTGAGGGAGGACTGCAGCCCAATTACAGCACAGAGTGGGGCTGAATGCAGCCCCCTGCCCTGCGTGAAGAGCTTCATCCTCCAGAGCTGCTAATTAGCTGTGTTAATTAGTGATGCACGCTGGTTTTTGGAGCAGGGCAGGTGAGGAGGATGCTAAGCCCCATCTGAGGTCGGAGGGTGATGCACCAGCAGCTCTGTGGGCCAGAGGAGGAAGGTGACAGCAGGTCTGTCTGGAGGGGACATGGGGACAGAAGAGGAGCAGAGGCTGCTCAGGAACTGAGTCTGTGAGAGCAAGATGTGGATCCAGGGCAGAGGCAGGCAGGAGTGGCCTCTCTGCAGCCAAAATCTGGAGCTGTGAGAAATTCATGCTGTTAGGAAACCCTTGGGTTTCTGGGAACAACTGGATTTTTTTTTTTTTTCATGCAATGAGTGAAAGTCTGCCTCAGTTCAGGCACTTTCCCATCCCAGCAGTGGGACTGGGAACGGCAGCCCCTGCAGGCAGCACTGCAAAACCCTCCTGGGTGCCTCTGGAAAGGAGAAAGGCTCTCCAGGGAGGAAAGGCATCACTTCTCCCTGAGCAGACCCCTGCAGAGCCATGATTCAGCCCTTCCCGGGTTTATGATCAGAATGAGAAGGGGAAAGGGGAATTTTGGGATGGGGGTTGATCTCCATCACAGAGGGGAAGGAGCTGGGAGGGAGCAGAGTGGCACAGAGTGACACAGCCCCTCCCTGTGCACCGAGGGGAGATGCTGGGGAGATGCTCAGAGATGCAGGGGGATGCAGCAGCAGCCTCTGGGCTCCTCTGAGTGCTGATACATGCAGAGACAAGGAACTGCAGCGATGTCACCAGGCTGGGGCAGCTTGCTCAGGCCCTGTGGTGTCAGCATGGCTTTCCTCACGCAGTGCAGGCTCCCTGGGGTGCCTGAGCTGGAGAAGTGTTGCACTGCAGGAGCAGGATGTCAGGGAGCCACTGGCTCCTGCTCCTCTTCCAGGACAGCACTGCAGGGATGCTTCTCCTGGCACAGAGCTGAGCCCACGATGTTTCCCAGCAGCCAGAGCCGCATCCCTCAGCAGGCCCTCTCCTTTCCCCTGGGAGCCATCCCTCTGATCACCCTCTCTTCCCTGGAAACCTCCATCTGCTCCCAGAGGCTGCCTCCTCTGGAGTGCAGCAAGGCAGGGAGTTAATGGAGTGTGTGAGCATCGGCTGCCGTGTCAATAAATTACCCTTTGCTATTTCAGGCTGCTTCTCACGCTGACCTTTCGTTCCCTGCACTCACCCATTAATTTTTAAACCTTCTCCTCGCCCCTGATGTGCTCATCTCACCTCCTGCCTGATGCTACAGGGACTCTTGGAGCACTTTATGGCCCCTGTGACTCTGGCCCTGTTGGGGACAGGGACACTGTAACTAATTGAGGTGGCCCCACTGGTGGCACTGCAGCCACAGCTGGGAACCTCTGGCTCCTTTCCCCACAGTGGTGACACAACTTGTTCCCCTGGGAGTGGGGTTATAGCATGAGCTCAACACCCCCTTTTCCCCCATTAATTCCACCCAGAAGTTGTTTGCACTGCTGGTAACACTTCCCAACCCCACACTGCCTTTTGGGGGTGCTCTGGAAGCACCTGAGGGGGTAGAGGAGGAGTGGTGGGTTCAGAGCTCCAGGGAGAAGCCCAGGCAATGCTGGAGGGGGTGGTGGCTGCTCCCAGGAGTGGACAAGCCCTGCCTGGCTTGGGCAGTGGGTGCATCAGGGCTCTGGCTCTCCAGGAACCCCTGGCTTTCACCCAGATGTTCTTCTGTTGGCTCTGACAGCCACAGAACTGGATCCCAGTGCTCCAGGACCCCAGCCGGACGTGGCTGTGGGCAATGCCAGAGCCACACTCCTTGGAGTGGGATGCCACCTCTCTCGTGTTTGCTGTCACCAGACTTTAAACACAATTTATCCTGGACCTGCTCAGCCGGTATCCACGAGGACACAATCCCTCATTTAGCAACCAAACCCTGACCTGGAGGGGAAAAGCAGAACCGGAACCCCACAGAATTTAACAGCAAAACCCCACCAGGGGCGGGGGGGTCACCGCAAACCCCCAGAGGTGGAGACCCCTCGGGTGCCCCCCTACCTGCAGGGTGTTGACAGGGAAGGCGGTGATGGGGGGAAAGTCCATGATCTGCAGGTCGTGGACGTGGCCGTTCATGACCACGGCGGGCAGGTAGACGCGGCGGGCCGTGGTGGGCACGCAGACCTCGCTGAACTCGTTGTACAGGAACTGCCGGACTATGGCGCTCTTGCCCACGCCCTGGGCTCCCAGCACGGCGATCTTGAAGGTTGCCACCATCCCGCCGCACGCCGGCCGCTGCCCTGGTGCTGCCTCCGCGGTGCCGAGGCTGCATATTCCCGAGCAGGGGGCCTCAGCCCCATTCAGGATGCATTTCCCCTCCGGGGCTCCCCGTCACTGCAAGGCCAAGGAGAAGCTGGTCAGGTCCGAGAGAAACCCTGGAGTTACACTGGGGCTGCTGCGGGGGATGTTTTTCCGAGCTGGAGCTGGCAATGTACCCAGGGGCCTTGGCACTGCAAGACCTCAGGGTCTCCCTTGGAGCTTCCCACCCCAGCAGCCAGGGAGAGCCAGGATTTGAGTGAACTTTATTGCAGGAAGGTTCTCACAGGCACATTCAGCCCTTTCAGCACCTGTCTGCGGCTCAGGGTTTGCTCAGCCCGGCAGCAGCAGGGTCCCAGGCTGTGCTGGGGACTCAACCCACGGCCACTGGCACCAGCTGCTCCTCGCCGGTGCTGTCCCAAGCCGGGGAATCCATCATCCCTCCGCTTGGACAGCCAGAATTGCCTTTTGCCGGGCGGGGGGAGATCGCTGTGCGCCTGCGAGCGACAGCTCGAGCGTTTCCTTTCAGCCTTTGAGCGGCTGGGTAATTAACTTGATGGGAACTCATTTGCAAGCCAGCTGACAGGGTGAGCCCAGAGCCACCGCGTGTGCTGAGGCCGGGGGGACACGGGGCAGGGCCCACGGGTGTGGGGACACGGGGGATAACCCACGCCCAGGGATGTGGGAGCTGAGTCTGAGGAGTCCGAACACCCCCTGGCACCGGGCTCCCGACCAGGAGCTGTGCCGGGATTGGCACAGGCGAGGGGATGGGTCGCACTTTCACTCGCTCTCATCCCCAGGAAGCAGCTTGGGCTTTGTCCCAAAGTGTGGATGCTTTGACCAATTTCTGACGCTCTGGCCCATTTTCCCTAAAAACCATCCCCGAAGTGCAGGGCAGCAGCTGAAAGTGTCAGGTTCGAACACCCCGTTGTGCTTGTTTGATGGAGGTTATTTACCCCAGGGGGAGCCTGGGCACAGCGGTTCCCGCTGCTGGGTGCTGGAATGGCCAAGCTGCCCGGATCCCTTCGGCTGGGCCACGGCTCACACCATCCTCACCCCCCGCACGCCAGGACCGGGGACTTGTCCCCCCGTGCTGCTGGCACTGTCCCCGGGGTGCTGGCTGTCCCCAGCCCCGGCAGTGGGAAGGTTTCTGTGCCGGATGCAGGGACATGGGGGGTGCAGGAGCCCCCAGGCCCGACCCTGCCAGGGCCTTTCTCCTCCAGCAGACAGCATTGTCACTGCAGGTCCCGGGGGCCACCCTGCTGCAGGGACAGCCCCGTCCCCACCAACCCTCCCTCCTCCCAGCAGCGTCCCCAGCTCCTCTGCGGGGCTGGAGGGTGATGGAGCGGCACAACTGGAAACCCAATGCCCGCAGGGGTCCCTGGAATTGGGGCACAGGCTGAGCCCCGCTGTGCCTCCGCCAGAACCTCATCGCCCTCTGTGCTGGCACGCGCACCCCAAAAACATCAGAGCCCGACCTGACGGTCCCCGGCCCTACAAGCAGCTCCTGAGGGGAAACTGAGGCACAGCGGGGGGACCCTTCGGGGCACCCCACGGTGGGGTGGCGGAGCAGGGACCAGCCGCGGCTCAGCAGCAGGCCGGGCTCCGCGGGCTGCAGGGCCGGGCGGGGGCTCGCAGGGGGCTCCCGGGGAAGGTGGCTCCGGCCCCCGCTGCGACCTTGGCCACGCTGCCACGCCTGGGGCACTGGAAGGAGCAACCCCTGAGCCCCGTGGGGCGGGGGCGGCTTCCCTCACCCCGCATCCCGCCCCCCACATCCCGCACCCCCCGCATCCAGACCCGCCCGGGGATGCTCCGGCCGCGCTGGGTCGCTGGGGCCGGAGGGGACCGAGGGACGCCGAGGGGGGACGACACCCGCACCCGCCGTGCCGGCGGGCACAGGGGAGCGGAGAGCACCGGCGCTCAACTTTCCCCCTTGTCCCCGCATCGCGGCCACCCCCGGCCCTGCCCAGCGGTAACTTCGCCCCTCCCGTCCTGCCCTTCCCGGCGGATCCCCCGTACCTGGCAGCGGCGGCCCGGGCCGGCGGCGCCCCGGCGGGCGGCGGAGCCATGCGGCGAGCCCGGCGCGGGGCGGGCGGCCCCGCTGCAGAGCCCCGGCCCGGCCCGGCCCCCGCCCGGCGCGGCCACACCGAGGGGCGGCGGCGGGGAGCGGGGAGCCCGGCCGGGGCACGGCGCGGGGGCCGGAGGTGTCCGGGCGGGGATGGAGGCGGCGGCGCCCGGCGGGATGGCGGGGATGCCCAGGCGGGAGGCGGGCAGCCTGGGGAGGGATGGAGGGAGGGAGGCAGGCAGGGATGCAGGCAGCGCCCGGGGAGGGAAGGAGGCTCTGCCCAGGCAGGGATGCAGAGGATGCCCGGGAAGGATGCGGGCAGTGCCCTGGAGGGAAAGGAGGCAGGGAATGCACAGAGCGAGCCGCAGGAATCCAGCAGAGACACCGGCTTCTCCCGGGGCTCTGGGGAGGCGCCGATGGGAAAAGACCCTCCCATGTCCCCCCTGCAGTGTGCTGGGTGCAGCGGCGTCACCCCTTCCCGGCTCTCATGCCCACCGCGGACGAGTCCCGCGGGCCGGGCTCCGGGGGAGGTGGGCAGGAGCCCTCCCTGGGAGCCTTCCCTCCTCCGGCGCTGCTCGCTGTGCTCTTGGGCACGTCGCTTCGCCTCCTCCCGTGCCGGCCCTGGCCCGCGGGCGGGGCTGGGGCTTTCTCTGTGCCCGCGGGACCCTGAGCCCAGGCTGCTGGCAGGCCCCACCAAAGGAGGGACATTTCTGTTGCGCCGTCTGCATTTTTGGGTCACCCCGCACGGAGCGTTTACCTGCGTGCTGGACAGAGGGAAGATGCTGGCTGCACCTCCAGGAACATGGTCCAGGCCCCCGGGACACGCTGCCGATGGACTCCCTGCACCCCTCTGCTCCTGGAACAGCCCCCGAGCCCCACTCCGGCTGCCTGAGACACCGGCGAGCACCGAGGTGTCCGCACGGGTCCGGCCGCGATCGCACGGGCTTGGCCGAGCCCGAGCCCCGGCGACAGCTCGGCCGGGCTCCCCCCAGCCTCGTCAGCACCTTCGGCTGGGAAAAAAACATCATCTCCGGGCTGAGGAGGGGGTGCAGGGGGAAACACAACGCCACATCCCTCCTGGGGGACAAGGGGACGGCGGACACAGCCCCACGGCTGGCGGGCACAAGGGCAGCTGGTACAGCACCAGGCAAAGGGGGTCCCAGCCCCCTCACCACGCTGCTCCCGGGCTGGCGGAGATCTCGGCATTGTCTCCCTGCAGAGCTGCCCGATGCTCGCGGCAGGGGAATATTTGTGTGTCCCTGGGGTTACCAGCAGCCCGAGAGCCGCTCCCCTTCCCCGCATCGCCTAAAGCAGCGCCAGCCCTGGAATGTTTCTGGGAGAGCGCAGGGATCGGGCTGCACATGAACTCTCCTGCACAATTCAGGCTCCAGCCTCGGGGCTATTTTTAGCAGTTCCCTCCGAGATGCTCTTCAGTTGCAGTTTTATGTGTGAAATTTAATATACGAGGATGGGGGGGAGGGGAGTGGGGCTGGATCCTGGCATGTCCCTGCTGGCCGGGAGGTTTATCCCAGTCTCAGTGACACGAGTCGGAGGCAAACCAAAAATCATCCATCCAAGAGTTCCCGTGTCCTGATGTGCAGGTGGCAGCAGGGGACAGGCAGAGCTGGTGGCTATGGTCAGCTCCTGCCTCAGCCAGATCCAAAATCCTCCCCTGAGTCCCTGTCTCCCCCGGAGCCCATCATGGGCTCAGGGACCTGCTGTCCCTGGCACAGAGCAGGACGGGTGTGAGTGGGAGCAGCAGGGATTTTGGGGAGCACAGCAGGGATTTTGGGGAGCACAGCAGGGATTTTGGGGAGCACAGCAGGGATTTTGGGGAGCACAGCAGGTTTGCCCCAGCTCCAGCCAGAGCAGCAAGGAACAACTCAGGAGGTTTCTGTCGCACAGCGTGGCTCAGGAGCAGGGAAGGCTGTGGGGACCAACCCCCCTGGCAGTTCCCAGCTCAGGGAGCATCACCTGCGTCCCCTGAGCCCCACGGGTGACACTGCTAATGACAAGGCCAGCTCCCAGGGGGTTGGTGTGTCCCCGCTGACAGGGCACAGTGCCTGCAAACCCACAGCAGCAGCGAAGACCAGTTCGTTCCCGAGGAGCCTCTGGCAGAACAGGGAGGGAGGATGAAACCTTTCCCTTTGCCACAGGACATGAAGGGACAGCAGCTGACAGGGCAGAGCCCTGAACATCCCACAGCAGCTTCTGCTCCTGCTGGGCCGAATGCTGCTCCAGGCTCACCCAGCAGGGAATGATGATCCCATCCCAGGCATACCAGGGATGCACGAAGGGACACAGCAGCAAGATCAGGGACCCCAGGCCAGCCTGTCATTGTTGTTACTTGACACATGCACCTGCTTCTAACACAAAACCATCCCAGGGCAGGGCAACACTGGCTGACATGACACCTGCCCTCCACAGAGGGTAGAAGGTCCCAAAATCCAGGTGCTGCTAAGCCAAGGCTGGGCAGAGTGAGAGAAAAGGTTACCCTGCTCCAGAGCAACACCCCAGAACCCTGCTGCTTGTTCTGTTGGATTTCTGGCCACTTCAAGCACTGAGTTTGGGGCTGCCCAAGATTGGCTCTGGCCTGGCACAGAGGTTTTGCAGCCCAACCCATCTTGCTTGAGATGGGACCAGAGATGGAAAAGCCCTCTGAAAAACAACAGCAGCACAAAGCAATCCAAACACATCACTGACTCCCAGGATTTTATCATTTCACCACAGGGAAAACAGGTCACACTACACAGAGCCCCCCTGGAGCCCCAGAAGGGCTAAATGGGTACATCCATCTTCTGCTCCTCATCTGAATCTGTCCCTGCTGCCCTTTGAGATGAGAAGCAGCTGTTGGAGCACCAAGGAAACTTGTTGGCTCCTCCTCTTGCAAGTCCCAAATTTGGGGGGTCTGTGCTGTAGAAGTGGCTGGTTGAAGAAGAAGCCTGGTGAGCAGAGTCTCCTTCCCACCAAATCCAGCCTTCAGCCCTGCTGCTCCCCTGGGCAGAGGCAGCATCAGGGGAATGGCTCCTCTCCCCATTGCCACAGAGCCACACGCAGCCAGAGCCTCGTGGAAATGAGTTTATTGACACGGAGGGCAGGCAAAGCCTGAAGAGCAACACAAACACTCGAACGAGCAGGGGCAGAGGGAACGCCACCACGAGCTCTGCCCCGGGCTGAGACACCCATCCCAAAAGCTGGGAAGGAATTTGGCAAGAGAAGGGGGTGCTCAGCAACCCCTCCCCACCTCGAAGCTGCTTTCCCCTCCCTGCCCCACACACAGCACCGCACTCAGTACCACTGGTGCTTCCTTAATTGCTCTGTTAATGACTTTTACACTCCACCCGCAGGGCTTGGAGCAAATCACGGGTTGCTCCAGCTCTGCCCCACGTTCTTCCCCCAGCCAGAGCACAGGGGTTCCTACACAGGGACACCACCTTCCTCAGGGTCGTGCAGCTCCTGGGTCCTGCTGGAGCCTCTCCCAGGACACTGTGACCTTTTCCCAGCACTGGTTTCTTGGCTGCAGTCAGTGCCAGAGCCCTGATGAACAATCTCCCACCGTGAAACGTTTACTGACTGTGAAAGTGGCATCTAAAAGGACAACAGGGGGGTTGCTACACAAAGAGCTTTGTTAGCTGGGGAGGAGATGTCCAAGCATGCTGGGGAGGGAGAGGCTGTGCTGGACTGGGGCTTGGATTAAGCAGGACAAGCTATGGATGGAGCAGGGACATGCAAGAGGCTTTGCTTTCACTGCTGTTGCTGCAGCACTGATGGTTGCAATGGGGCGAGTCCACAGCTGTGGGCTGGAAGGGAAACAATCCTGGCTCTAAAGGACAGCTTGGAACAGAGGGGCCAGGGCATGGGGCTGCTTGGGACAGGGACTCAGAGCAGGAACCTGGCTGGCTCTGGCCACTGCGTGTCTCTGAGCACAAAGAATGGAGCTGTCCAAGGGAGAAACTCTTCCATGAGCTGCTCCACCCAGCTCAGCTGGAAGCTGAGTGCCCCAGGCAGGCAGGGAGCAAACACTGCCAAGCCCAAACCATCTCCCACCATGCCCAGCCTGGGGTTTTGGGGGCAGCATGGCAACAGGGAGAGGCACTCCACTCCCCTGGCAGCCTGGGGCACTGCCAGCAGCAGCCCCTCTCTGTGGAGGCCTGGCTGACACTGCAGGGAAGTGGCAGTGCCACGTTTGGATGTGCCACCACGAGCCTGGGAATTGCCAGGGCCAGTGCTGGGACAGGGGGCACAGCTCAGGGATGGCTGAGGAGGCAGCTGGGCCTCAGCAGGCACAGAAAGAGGAGGAAGAGGGGCTGTACATGGGTGAGGATGCATAGACCACACCTGGAGCTCTCGCATGAGCCTTTTGCTCTAAGAACAGGCTCATTTCCTTCATTTCATCCACCCTGGCCTGTTACCCATCCAGGCCTGCTGCTCCTCCCCACACAAAAGCAGCCTCACTCCTCAAATCACCAGCTCATGAGGCAGGGAGGTGGCTGGAGTGAAAACACCATCGAAGCCAGCACAGGAATAATAAAAACCCCTCCTTAGGGCTCCATCCCCCTTCTAGGACCCAACTGATGGCTCTGTTCCTAATTCCCCGAGGCCATGATGACCCTGCTAGAGCCCCATGTCCCTGCAGGGCTTCCAAGACTTCCTTGCAATCACCTTCCCTTTAAGCCAATTACAATAGAAAAACTCCAAAAAAAAAAAAAAAGTATAAAAATATAAAATAAAGTGCAGTGTTATGTTTTCGACACTTTTGCCTTGTTTTAATGAGCAGACGTGTGGTTTTTGCTCGGTGTTTTTTTGTTTTTCCAACGAGCAGTTATTTTACAAAATCCAAACTACACCTAAAGCCATTTAGAAAACACTGAACATTGGCACAAAATGGAGAGAAGCCCACGAGAACGGATGAGTGAGGGGCAAGGGGGACATGGGAATAGTTTGAAGCAGTGGTTACAAACTCCATGGATGCTAAAAATACCAAAGGGGTTTGTTCCCTATCATC